CGAAAGGTGGGCCTTTTTTTGCCCCCGAAGAAATGTCCCCCTTTCGAGGGCGCTCCGGTTATAGGGTTTTTATTCGTTTCTATATTGTAGTTCGTTAATATGAAGAATGCTATTGTAGTTAAATACTCGTATGTTTTATGTGTGTTGTTTCTGTGTTTTAACATTTTATGTGCACCGTCTGATAGTCGTAGTTTCGAATAATGGATTCTCAGTTCCCTTTTAATAAAAGAAAACTGTGCCTGAAAATAATAAGATCAACTTCAGTAAAGTCTCTCCTGTAGTTTGACTGTCAATAGTAACATTGCCACGTATTTTCTATATATATATATATATATCTTGAGTAATACAAAGGTTTAAAAACATATTAGTGATAAATTAAAAGTTTGAAACATATGTTTGAAAATGGAATGATTTTGATCCCAGTCTCGCTGTCTAACCTTGTTTTTATAATAGTTTCAGACACTTCAAATGTTTCCCTCTTTCTCGTATACATACTATATGGAATATTTTTGATAATGACGATTCAATAATGTGTGGCTTAGAGAATAATAATGCAGCTTCGTCCCCATAAAATTAACTTTCCTAGTTATTTAATAGTCTAGGTGTCTGTTCAGCAGTTGAAAACTCTTATGGACGAGCTAGTCGTATTTTTCGCTAAAGAGATGCGAATAATCATATTTTTAAATGCACTTTGAATTCCTAAGGAATGTCGTCTGTTTAAACCATAATTTTTATTATAACAAATAAGAATGTTTATATTTTTTCATCAAAATTTAATTCTTAAAAAACGCCAAATTAAGAAACATTGCTATTGTATGATATATATATATATATACATGATACTGAACTTAAAATTGCATTTAAGATAATAACTGCATTAACATTACCATTTCATTATTAAAAATAAATGTTTCCTATAAACCATTCTTAATATTTGTGTCAATGCTAACCACAAATACGTATATTATTTATTATAAATTCCGCAAAAATATTATAAAATGTTTATTAATACATTCAGTTCTCTTAAAAGTTTACAAGTAAAATCAGATCTTCTACAAATGGTTCAGTATTCTGAGAATCAAAAAAAAAAGTCTTATTAAGGAAATTACAAACAAAGCAATGTTATTGATATCGTGAGATGCATTTCATATCAATTGAAATAATGTTTTCACCACAGTCATTTGTACTGACAATAACTTTTGTTGTCAGATCAGGTTGTGTTATTATCACTTTATTTTACTTAGAAGCTGCTAAGTCAGTTTTTCTCTCCATTCGTTCTATGCTTTTGAAGCTGTAGGATAATTCATTGATTAAACGTAATGATTGTAATTCGCGTCTCCCGTAGGGACAGTGGTAAGCAT